ACCTCCATACCTCCTAGAACCGCTAAAAAGGTAAGCACCGGCCTGCACCTGCCACTTACCACCGCGTTTCTCTGACTTTTGTGTCCTATTTTTTTAGGTTGTCCTCTGGTGCTGCACTTAGAAGCCATAACACACCGCGGTCGTTCATGAGATGCCAGCACCAGAGAATATTCGGTCAAAGTTTACAGGCAATGTCTGTTTCTACACATTCATTGCTCGTTACCGGCAAGGAGTTGTTTTATGGCGTAACATAGAAACCGTAATACGCGAGAACGAGGTCGCCCAGGTTCGCGGAGATAGCTCAACAGCCAAATTAGTTTTACCAGGCAACTCAACACCACCGACGACAGATGCAGATGCTCGAGCGTGTAAGCGCTTTGCGGCGCGTCCCAAAGTGAGGATCGATGATATCATGAAGAAATTGCGACCTTCAGTTCCCACTGGGAAAGATGAACCTCAGTTGAAAATTGAGCTTAGAACGTTGAAACGGAAAGTTCCGTCCAAACGGGGATCCAGACCTAGATCGAATGGGACAGGTAATTCAAGTGAGACTTCAAACCCTGCATGATTCTCTGTCGTTATTTGATCACTGATCATTCCCTTTTCTTTTCTTTTTTTTCTACCAGATGAAAAGGATTCAGTCAATTCAAAACCAAATAATCGAGCTCAACGTCAATCGAGCAGATTGAATAATATGACATCAGTTCGCTGCAAATGCGAACTCACCATATATGAAAAGACAGATAGTTCGTCAACCGAGCAAACACCGCCTCCTCCACTTCTCTACAAATCAAGCGAGCTTTGCACGATCACTTACGACTCTGATGAATCTGCGGCCTTAGAGATGGACGACCATTTTTATATCAAAGCTAGCCAGCTTTATGTACAACCGAGTCGAGGTCCTATAAAACCCTGGGGATTGGCGGAGAGCTACAGTGCCCAGATTACTTTGAATGCGATAGACGTTGATGAAAAGTGGCCCCCCTTCCTTTCTGGCGAAAGACCGCAGGGCAGTAAGAAGTGGCGGGAACCTTTTTACGTTGTTTTGTACTGCACCCTTGCCTCTTTGCCGATGACTTCAGGTATTTCGCAGTACGATGTGTTTTTGAAGTTCGATTCCACTTCCAACGAGCGCTCGGGTTTAAGTCTCGAAGTAGACTATGGGTGGAGCCAAGTACAATCACAACGTAACGGACTTGATCACCAGTTGGCTAGGCTTCCGACACCTACCTTGGATAAGGAACAGTTTTCGTGCTCCAGACCGACATACAATGTTTTGACTATCTACTACTTTCGGGGCTCAGTAGATGACAAAGATTTACAAAGTCAATATGGGGCTCCAAATCCCAGAGACCAACACCTGTTCTCGATTACCGGATATACCTGTCCCATTTGCGACGGTAAAAAGTTTCACAACTTAAAATTTTTGCATTTACATCTAATTACTTTTCACGATCTATTTCATTTTCAGGTAAAATCAAGAGAGCAGACGAAAGGTTTGGACAGTATAATTGAGATCTCTGTGGATCTCTCCAAGGAACAATTGACTGCTAGAGCCAGTGACCATGTTCCTGATCATAGAGTATTTCGCTGGCAGAAGCCGACTACCAGATTTGATCTTGATGCTATGCTAAAGGGTGATTGGGCTTGGCTCAATGAGAAGAAAAGTGCTTCTTTAATCGGGAATTATCGCCGAGAGCCATTGCAATCAAGTAATGGAATTAGTGCTCCCGTGAGAAAAATCAATCTGTATGACGTTCAACCCCTACCAAAGATGAAAAGGCGAAAATATGTTGTTCCAGAGGCTAGAAACGGCGTGAAAGGCCTCGTATTTGTTCGGAACAAAAGTAAACGTTTTGTGCATCCCGGCGAGGAGCTCAGTGAGAGTGACGATGACGTGGACGAAGAATGGTTGAAGATGAAACATGGGGAGGTAAGCTCTAAAGACATTAACGTAATATTCTCATATTTCAGGAGGAATTTTTGCTAACATTCTCCTTAGACTGTTGAAGACTTCAGTGATGTAGTGGCAAATGAACGGAAGTTCATGGTGTTGTGGGATCGTTATCTTTATGAAGAGCGGTAAGATAATTTAGTGATAGTTCAATCGTTTTCAACTCAGTTATGAAATCTTGATGCTAATTGCGTTATCTTCGCCCAAATATAGTCCTAAAGGCAATATTCAAGTCCCACCAGTTTTGGTCCGCTTTGCTAGAGATATGGGGGAAGTTCTTAGAAGCTCAAATCTGCTTGTCGAGTTCTGGAAGCATTGTTTGAATCTCGTGCAGTATCGGGTTATTGATGCAGAATGTTTAAAAGTCTGTATGGCTATCGCGAAGGGCAATAACCCATGGTCTTCAGCTGGTATTTCTACTGTTGGGCTTGGACTTGCTGGCCCTATTGCATTAGAAAGTTCGCAAGGTGTCGTGCCACCATCGGAGGACCCGATGGACCTAGATGGTGAAACTCATGATGGAAAACCCTTTCTAAAAGAAACAGATCATAAGGTGGAAGCTCGAGATTCGGGATTTTGCACCTGCGGGAAGCCATATGAGAGATCTCAGATGGTCCTTTGTGTTGGTTCGGTAAGCGGATAGTAGCTTCTTATTTTACCCCTGAATTCATTATCACTCGGGTTTGGTTTTTGCGTCACTAACTTTCAAACTAGACTTGCGACAGGCGTTGGTTCCACAAATCCTGTTTTAACCTAGTGAATCTTCTTGACGAATGGAAATGTCCGAAATGCATTGAAGTAAGCGATAATAATGAGTAACTACAGTAACACCGGTTTCTGTAGGTCTCAACGCAGAAACCTCTGGACTTGTTTTTGGGTAACTATTGCAGTTGTACTGCTTGTTTTATGGCTCCTGCCATAGTATTGGAAATGTTAATGTTGGAATAATCCACACTTCTGTCTTGAGCTCGCTACCTCAACACTTCAGTTCATTCAGCTGCTGTGAAGCCTATCATATTGTTAGTCTGGCGTACAGTTTCATGCGCTCTATGTTTTGGAGTTCACATTCATATACCTGTAATCATCTGTTCATTTTTACCGTATTTCTTCCCTCCCTCCTTTTTTTTTGGCTGGTACGACTGTACAGTTTCCCTCATCTTTGTTCTGTCTCTCGGAACTCTATTTTCTTATTTTTATACATTTCTTATCCTGTTGATGAACCATTTATGTTGTTTGACAAGGCGCTATCAATTGTTTTACGGGGCTGGATGGGTTTTGGCAACTGTTACTGTGGAAATTAGATACTTAAGTGTTAACTCAACGGCCTGCCCAATACGTGGTAAGCGGGTTTATGAGTAAGTTTGAGAGATATGCAGCTGTACTACGAAATTAAGAGGTAGGCTTATTTTTCGCCGGTAGCTTCATTAGCCTCAAACATTACATAGATACATGTATGTTCAAGGCTCAAAGGATGCATATGTGCGCATGTACGCAGTTTCTAACGAAGTTAACATTAGGAAGCTCTAAAGATCCGTTCCACGGAGGCTTATCGACAGCGTTGGGTTGAGAAATATTGATAGATACACAGTAAGCCTTATAAAGGAGCCTGCCTCTATTTTATCAATATATAAAACATGGCCTAAGGACATCGTAGCGTACGCAGGTAATCAACTTTAGGGTTGTATTTAAAACCATGGTTAAGATTCCATGAGAAGGCTACATATGTGGCCCAGAAGACAAGTCGTATACGTAGGCTTTCCTGAAATCGTCCAGACTGATAGTTCGATGTTTGTACCTTGGTATGCGCCGTTCATAGTCTATAGTAAAAGTAGGAGCTGGCCTATATAGTTTATACGCTCGTTTGACTACTTCTAAGCCAACTAGTCAAGGCACTCATTCAAGACCCTACATTTACCGCTTGCCTCAAGCCGCAAAATACTTACAAAAAAGGGAACGGGGAGTGAGACTTAGCAAGTTAAGTTGAGCGAAATGAAAGTAAAGAGCGGAGGAAGAGAGATAGTCTTATGGTTACATGCAATTCGGAGGACTGTCCTCTACTCATACTAGAAATGATGCTCCAGCGATGATTGGGCTACGCGTGGCGGTGCCCATAATATTTCCATTGTGTATTTATCTCTTTGTATCGCTCTTTTATACTGCTTCACAAGAAGAGGAAGAGCGCTATATAGGCACACAGCTACAGTCTACGCTTCGGTGATCCCGCCTATCTCACTGACTTTGTATCGAAGCTTAGACATAATAGGGCAGCTTGCTTAAGTGGAGACTTACAGCCTTTTCTAGGACGATATTACATCTGCCCAACTGATAGACAGTTCAAAAACCGAGAATGGCGTTCTAAATAATAGTTATCATCTAGCTTAGGACTGTTTTATAAAATACTATGATACTTAATCGAGTTATTGTCACCGGATCTATCGGGTGACTTTGTCACCGATTATGACTCTAACCTGGTCTTTCCCCTAGAATCGTATACTACCGTCCTATGAACATACGTGCCTGTTAGGATTTCATGGATCAATTAGTGAAAACACTGGGTTACGAGGAGTTGGATTAGTCAGAAAGCTTCTATTGAGTTTTATCGGGTTCTGTTGATCGCAAGGGTATGAGTCACTTTGGATTTGTCATCTCTAGGATTTCCTTGGGTATATTAGAAGGTTTCGCCCTCGCTTCTGTTCACTTTCTCTTCTTTCCTCTGATACGCAACATTTTCTGTATCTACGCTGTCTATTACTATATAATATCATTTCCTCTTCTTTACTCAAGATAACCACCGTGCTGCTGCTCCCCTTGTCCCGTTGACCCTTATCAACGCTGGAATCACTTCGGACCCCTATCGCAGGCTCCCCTACTGACCTCTATTATCTCCTTCATACCCTGCAGAATACTCGCTACTCACACCCTTAAGATTACGTTACATCGTCATCTGCACCGTACGACATGTTCACCCCCGATCCACCTACATGAGTCCCACCCAACAATATAGAAGAATTCAAGCAGCAGTATGAGGACGATACTGTTGCCTTATTTAAGTACATAGCCATCCTCGTACAACGTATCCACCACGAGAGGTATACTGCTCGTACACAACTCGCCACCGCCTACGAAATTCATCGACAACCTCGAAGAGCAGGTAACTCAGCTCAACCTCGACCTCAATATCACTCGCACCGTTTCCGCCTCCACCGTCCCTGTCCCCATTGTCGCTACTATCCCAACTACTACCGTCTCCATCTTCAGGTCCGAAAACTTTCCAGACCCTGAAAAATTCGATAGTACCCATACCAAGCTCCCCGGATTCATCACTCAACTCCGAATAAAACTTGTGGTCAATAACGATTGATTCCGCAACGAGGCAGTAAAGGTTATCTATGCCGTAAGCTGTTTGGAAGGAAGGGCCCTTGATCAGGTCGTTCCATTCATTAACACTAACCCTATTGCCCCTTTCTCCTCCGTCACTGCCTTCATCACCCATCTAGAATACTCGTTCGGAGATCCAGATCCCTGGGATACTACCCATCACCAACTCGTCACCCTGAAGCAAGGCAAAGGAGACTTTGCCATCTATTACTCACAGTTTCTCCATATCGTGGCATACCTAGACTATAATGAAGGTCGTCACGACATACTGGATGGACAGGCCTAACACTATAGTATCACGGGGACTATAGGCGATAGACTGTGATGCCAAGGAATACAACCTCGGTAGTGACGTAGACGTGGACGTAGACGTAAAGGTATACTTTGACTATTGACTTTGGGGTGGCTCTACCTGGTATGATAAACCGGTTGGAGCCCTATGACGTAGTGCAAACAAAGAATAGTATTCGTGGAATAAATACAGAGGTTGCGTAAAGAAGAAAGGAAAGGAAAGAAAACAGAAGAAAGCCGAAACAACGCCCCTTTATATATCCAGACCTCAACCCACAATGACTCATCTTCTCGCATAACAGAAACAAAAAGAATATAATAGAAACTCGCTTAACAAATCCCACACACACACTACACAATCCTTCCCTTACGTACTCTAACACTTCGCATAACCGAAACGTATAGCTGCCGTTACATATAGAGGCATATACGACTATATTAATGACAATCGACAACTAGATTCTGAGTCGTAAGGCCGAGTAATGGGCTATCTGTAACACGATGGAACAATTCACTGCCCCCACTGCTGCTGCACACCCATCCTATACCACCGGAGGTCTCACTCCAATGGACCTCTCCACCCTCTAAACCCGTCCCGCTCAATATCCTGCCGCCGAACAATGATACACCTTTGTCAATGGATAACGCAAGAATCCCGCCACTGAAAAACAATGGTGAAGGAACAACAACCTCTGTATATACTGCGTCAACTCCGGCCATGTCTTCGCCAACTACCTCTCTGCCAATCACTTGCATTGGAACCAACCGGTCATGAGAGGCGCACTCCTCGCATCTGCTAATGCTGCCGCCGACCCCGCTGTCCCACTGATCGCTAGTTCCGCCTCCTCCGAATCGGGTTTTCAGTAGTCCCGAGCTTGATCAATGGGACCTGCCCGAGACCTTCTAATATTTCTTCTTTGTCTGCGTTCTCTATCTCTGGCTTCTCAGTATCGTCTATGGAGGATAAATTGAGTGGGGATTATTTTGTTGTTTCTCGTAAGATTGTTAACAATAAAATACCCATTCAAACCCACGCATTAATTAATACCGGTTGCTATGGGTTAGCATTCATTGAAGAAACATTCGCGTGACATAACAACCTCCTATTCCTCCCTCTCAAATCACCCCGCACTCTTGAAGGTATCGATAGGCGGCCCATATCCTCCGGACAGATCACCCACCTGTGTTACCTGCTGCTGTCAATCAACTCCCACCACGAAACTATCTCCTTCTTCGTCACTAAGCTCTGTTTCTAACCACTCGTACTCAGGATCTCTTGGCTTCAACTAAATGAAGCCACACTACGGTTTAAAGACAATAGCATACTGTTCGACTCTGAATACTGCAAGCAAGCGCAAGTGCAACTCCTCCGCAAAACCCATTCGTATTAAAAGAATTGCACCACCACCCCGTTTCATCAGCAAGCTCGCATATTACCCAGGGTGCAGCTCCTTCGTCTTCGGAAACGTTACACGCTCGGAGCGCTTAGCGCGTCTGAAACCGCCAGTGTATACCACTCGAGCCTGGCTCCGCACCAAGAGCACCTACCCTCCCGGCACTGTCAGGAGATATGGCTCACGTCCAGAGGGCACTCGCTAATACTCTGCTTGCCTGGGCTGCCATGACATTATCTCCCCCTCCGGAGACACTAGGATGGAGTTAATCCTCCCACAGCACCAATGAAATTTTTGCTTCTTTTAATTAGATCAGTAATAACACGCTAGCACTTTCCAATACTCTCACAGTTATCTTGAATGCTCTTACAGAATGACTAATACTCTCGCGGCATGGCGATTTTTCTCATGGCACCACAAATGCTCCCACGAATGCCCAAGTGAATGCTCATCCAAGTGCTTCCGTGAGTACTCCTAGAGCACTCACTAATGCTCACAGACATGAGATATTAGTCATACGCACTCAAGATGAGGTAACCCTTACCCTGTCCCCTTTGTATCTATAATGTACTATCGCTACATTTTCTAACATTGGAACGGTTTGATTGGCTGCTGAGTGCAGGGATGTTGATTAGTCAGCACGATATATCACAGTACTGAGCACTCACGAGAATAGGAGGATGGGGCCGAAGGCCCCTCATGATTGTAGAGGGAGAATTAAATTTTATTTGATACCCATAATTCAACATACAACTCGCGGTTGCTAGTTGAGACACCCCTAGTATTGATGTACCATTGTCAAAGAATAGGAAGGCACCAGTTCCTCAAATGATCTCTAATGTAGGTATCCTCAATCACGTTGTATGGTCAGTTGCGGGATACTGATATGAGTACTGTACTGTATACTGATAACGACTAGCCAATCTTTGATGGAGGTATATGTTTCTGTCGATTCGTGAAAGGCATAATTACCCTTGAGGTCGAGGCCATGGTACGGCTTGTCTGAAAAGCTCAATGTCCATTTACAAGCAGCAAACAAGGACTGGCATTGCCCTCCTGGCATTGCCCTCCTGGCATTGCCCTCCTGTAGCGAGCTTGCTGGATAGCCACACTGAGATACTGATCGGTCAAAACTTTACCTCCTTCTTCCAATTCGTATGCATAGCAGAACGACACGAATTTTGAATAAGAGAGTCCAATTGGGTCTAACATTTTCAGAGCACTCACGAATGCCCTCATGGCTTTGCAAGCATTCAACTAAATTCATTACATGTACGCAAGTCTATCCTAGTATTTACCAACCATTTACCAGTCTCCACCTCAAACAAATAGGCAATTTCCAATATACTACGAATATTAACGACCCATATCCTTTTCCGCCTCCTCCCACAAACCTTCAGGAGCCCATGTGAGCTATCAGTGATACCACGATCCTTTGCCTCGAGTAGCTCCATTATACATAGTCTATTTGTTCGCCACCCACTGTCCCACAGCTTGAATATAGCCTTCATACGTCCTGGTAAGCGTCCCCGAAATACTCTCCACTCCTCTGAAGATGCTACCGACATCCATACCCAATCCTTTCTTATTTTTCCTTTCCCAAAAGCTGCATTTCCCGTACACCTAAGATTGTGAATCTCGCACACCTCAGGTCTTTGGAAGATTGGTATCGGAACCTGCAAACATGTGAACATTTCCACCCGACGCTCTAAAATGCTCTCAGAGATTCCGGCAAAGTATTGAGAGCATCCCGCAACCTCTGCATACTCCTTTATCAGACGATATGATGTGGTATGGCTTATTTGCAGTCCATCCACAATATTGAAAAGTCTTTCCGATTTCATGGAGGGGTTACAAAGATGCATTGGAGGCAAACCTACTTCCACTATGGATCGTTCATTTGGAGTGTTTTTCCGGTCTTCGATTTTAAAAATCTCAAGTAACCCCTTCAGGTTAGCTGGATGGCGCCAAAGGATGTGGTCAGTGCTCTTAGAACCTCCAACAATATCTTTCAAATTCAGCATTCGAATCTCTAACGCCCCCTGTAATTCAGTATCTGCTTTGCAGTATCTACCTTGTTGGATGCTCTGTATGCCTCTTTTATCTGATGTACATAGGCGAGTTCACTGATATTGGTAGAGTACTGGAGAATGCTCCCAAAGAGCTCAACATGTTCCCGATAGTGCGATAACATGTGCAATTTGAGGAAGTTGAAGTGAGACCTTTCTTGTATCCCGCGAATGTCCTCTAAACCTCGTTCAGCACTCTGGGAGCCTGGGGCATTTAAGGCTTTTGTTCGATTTCTCGCATCCTGAACCGTCCTCCTATATGCCTGGAATTCTAAAAAGATATCCTTGTACTTATGGAAATCCTCGAGATAACTTTCCATATAATTCAGTGTTCTTGTTGTATGACTCCCATACTGCACCATTAAGTGGAAGTCGATTAAGCCTCTTACACATTTTAATGCCTTTGCAAAGTCACGTCTGAGAGCCACCGCTGGGTTTCTCAAAGCAGCTATGAGTGTTCCAAAATGACCTGCGTCAGATTTCCCATCTCCTTCCCTCGCAATTGGGTTCTGGCACGATATGCCTCATTCAGTACTGCCAGTCCAGGGTAAGGCGCAATCGAGGCCCAAGCCTTGTCAAATTCCTCCAACCAATTGTGCTTCTTCTAGAAAACCTAAACCCACTCCATCATGTGCTTCAACATCCATAGGTAGATATTGTACAAAATATCCAGTTTATTGAGATCGTATGAATTAGCCCTCGGCATACCCCAGAAAGCATTAAAGAGTGTCTTCACTGATCTCGCAACAAGGTATTCCACCGATTTCAGGTTTTCCGAGTTCTCCCTGAATAGCTTTCCCCTCTATCGGTAATCCTAGTGATTGCGAGTAGGGCTCCGGCGAGTGCTCCCAAGACTGTGGAATTCCACCCCGCCATTTGACTCTGATGTCATAAAGTGGAATTAGTGAGTGAGTTATTCATGAGCTTAGGTGGGACTGGCAGTAGCTCTAGGAGAATTAATGAATGGCCGGTGGGCTTGCTCCGGACCGTTGACTTGATGTTACCGATGGTAAGGTAGATTAGCCAGGCTTTCTTGTCCTCACTAAAATTTGTCAAATGTATGCCATCTAACGCGCATATAATTGGCACCACACTCGACCCCTCCTGTAAGGTATTCTGTCCAGAAAGCATTAGCGACTGCTCATAGAGCACTTGTGAGGCTTACCGGTCCTGCGTCTCCCACCACCAATCTCCCGTATGTATTTTCCGGTACGATCTGTCGCCAGATTCATTATGGTTTACCACTGACGCGTACACCAATGACTCCCAAAAGGCCCGTTGGCCTAAAAGATATCGCACAATTATCATTGGATTTCATTAATAGTAAGGGATATTCGCTCTCCAAATATCCAACTACGAATGATGACAGCTTGCCTTTCCCAATATGGAATTCATTTCCTCCAATCTCTTTATTAAACCTCGCCCAGTATTGTAGTAGCTTTCGCCACTGTTTGACGGAGCATGTAGAAAGAAACTGTCGATATTTCCTTGTTAGGCCTTCGACAGTATGAAATAACGTGCCATTCTAAACTCGTATGCTTAGTTGAATGGGTACTATGGGTATCGGAGAAGGTTTTATGAGCATTCGTCGTAGTCCTCCGAGTGGTAGAGACGCTGCCCACCACTCTTGTAAATTGTTGTCGCTGCCTCATGCCTATTTGCATCTCCATCTGCCTCTTCCATCATAAAATATGATTCGGATTCCAGATCTGAATTATTATTGGCATGTTGGTTATGATAATTGATACTGTTGCCCTCCGAACTATTCGAGTCGTCATAGGCATTTGAATAGGAATCGTGAATGCCTTCCAAGCTGTCGTGAGTGTCATCGGGTATCTCTTGATCGCGTTCTAGGAGTAAAAACTGGTTTTCCAGCCATTCATCTGCTTCAAATGGATGTGTAGTTCGAAGATGTTTATCAAAGTTCGCGGAGGAGCTGTACCACTTGCTGCAAAAAGGGCAAAACAATTTCATTGAAGTTTCACGATGCTACCAAAGTACTCTCGAGTGCTCTGAACATTTGTTTTCTGGCAAGGCCGAGGAGGCTCTTTCCTGTAGGTGCTGCTGCACAGTGCTCGAATGATTTGATTTGGCAGCCAGCGAGGCTCTCACCTGTACCTCGTCGGCAAAGCTGACTTTCAATACGAGTCTGATGTCATACATCAACCCAATACAAACACAAACACCAACATGAAGAAACACCCACCACCCCAATCAGGTGGCCAGTTATGCTAGATTCTATCGCCTTGAGTATCTGCACTCTCTCCCTGAGCACTCGCGGAGTCTCTTGAGATCGAGACAGTGTTCTCAGCGCCAAATTCAACACTAATATCGACTATGAGATCAAAGAATACATTCTCTCTGAATCAGCTTCCTAGAGGACAGAGCAACAATACCAAGAAGAATACAAATACGAACCCCAACATCAGAATATTATTGATGTCACCATTGGTACTGCCTGTAACGGGGGTCCTTTCTAAGAGAAATAGATTTGTATAGAATAGAGACGGCCGTGCAAGATAGACAATCAGGTTGCAGATTATTCAAAGATACTATCGCTAGAACTCAATAATCTTTAAGGGCTCTGCTACCGATAAGAACTTGGTTTTTCTTTCTGATGAAGACTGGAGAGAATAGGACTGAAGGGCGGGAATGAACCTGAGTACTTATACTCCGAAGGCCTCTGTTCTCTGCTCCTAACTCCTTTACTAAGTTCCGGTGGGCCTTCCCTCAGTACCGGAAACAATACCACCGCTACCCCGCTTTTCTCTAAGCGTCAGCAGGTGTTTCCGATACCCAAGGCAACCACCCTTAGTCAAAGCCTTTGTAACACCTGCAGCCTTGGTTGCCACACAACTGAGGACCTGCATGAATGAGCTGCCGCTCAGGTGTAAGCTTAATCATTGCTGTAGAGCTTTCGCTTATTGTAGACTTCCCTAGCATAGTCCCTGCCCTTCGGCGGACTTACAATGCACCGAGGATACAGAGGATCACCGGTCAATCAGAGCTTCACTCTGGCCGGTCTTCTAGTCACTGGCGAGGCATAGACTCGTCAGTCATTGCTCCCATGAATAGATCCTCTTCCTAGCGCCCGGAATGTAGTTACTCTAACAGCTGGTAGCTAACCACACTGCCGGTACTTGCATATCACCGTGCAACTGGCTTCTAACAATAACTCTCAGCATGTAACCGGGCCCTGTGTGTACTCATACACCAGACAGTTGAAATGGCTCCGTTACACCACTCCCCTCTTCCAGGATCTTGGTCTCCGAGATCTATATCCATTCTATTACCATTCTATATGACAAGAAACTCCGTGATATGCAAGGAAATGAAAACCCAAAGGAAATAATCTACACCCCAACAATCCGCTTGTCCTTGGGTTTCTTAGGATACCTCATATGGAAATCCCGAAGGGCTTCTTCAGCACTCTTCTTGAGATGCTCCCAAGGTTCCCATGTAGCATCCTCGTTCTCATAACCTTCCCACAGCACTAGATATTCCACTCGTCTTCTCTTCTTATTGACCCGGCTATCAGCTACCTCTCGGACAACCCAGTTCTGTTCTCCCTCAACCTCTTCGGGTTCCGGTGGGGGAACTCTTCTCTCAGGATCTACCGGTGCTCTGTAGGGTTCTAGGAGAGAGACATGAAAGACCGGGTGGATTCCCATCTGGGGGGGAAGAGAGAGCTTGTAGGCACGGGTACCAATAGCTTCTAAGACCTTAAAGGGTCCCATCTTCTTCTGATCCAATTTTCCCAAAGGCCGCTTTGTTTGCACATTGCGCCGGTCCAACATAACTTCATCTCCGGGCTTGATTTCAGGTGGTGCCAAGGCATGAGCATCATACCACCGGGCCATCCTTAATCTAGCTTTACCCAAGCTGGCGTTCATAGCCTGCCAGATAGATTCCCATTGAGAAATCATGACCTCACTTGCTGGATTGTTCCATTCTACTCCTTCCTTTGGGGCCGGCCAGTTGGTCCTGGGTTCATATCCATAGTTGGCATAAAAAGCCGATACTTTGGTAGACTCAGAGACCGCCGAGTTATAAGCATACTCTGCCAAAGGCAAGAGTTCTGCCCAGTCATCCTGTTGATATGAACAATAACTCCGCAAGTAATGTTCCAGGGTCTGATTAACTCTTTCTGTTTGACCGTCCGTCTGGGGGTGGAAAGATGTGGACATCTTCAGCTTCACATTGAGGAGACTCATGAGAGATTGCCAAAAGTGAGAGATGAACCTGCTATCTCTGTCCGAGACTATGTCATCAGGTAAACCATGGAGTCTCCAAACTTCCTTCAAGAACAACTTAGCCAAATCTTCCGTTTTATTGAGGGTAGGAAGAGGGATGTAGTGTGCCATCTTCGAAAAACGGTCCACTATTACCCAGATCTTTGTAAACCCACTAGATTCCGGTAGTCCCACAATGAAGTCCATAGAGATGGAAGTCCATGGCCGATAGGGTATTTCCAACGGTTGGAGCATACCAAACTTCTTGTGTCTTGAGGTCTTATTCCTCTGGCAGCTGTCACAGCTCCGGACATATTCCTCAACATCCTTATCCATGTTGGGCCAAAAGAAGTTGTTTTTCACCCGCTCAAGTGTCTTAAATTGGCCAAAGTGACCAGCCACCTTAGAGTCATGGGTATCGGACAGTATTTCCATTTGAAGCTTCTTGTCTTTGGGTATATACCATCTATTCTTGTAGAAGATGAGACCGTTCTTGACCGACAAGTTCTGGTCCAAATTTGGTTTCCTTTCAACCAGGGAGCGGTGCAATTCCTGCCAGAAACTATCCTCTTTAGCAGCCGTGTATAGGCGCTCTAAGAATGTATTCTGCAATTGATTCACCCTGACAGCCGCTAGCTTTACAGGATCCAAAACCAATTGACCTGGCCTAAAAAAGATCTGTGGCTCCGGCTGCAGAGTTTCACCTCCCTCTCCAAGGCGGTGATCCCAGCGCCTAGATAGCACATCAGTCTTGCCATTCTTTTCTCCCGGTCTGTAGACAACTTTGAAATTGTAGCCTGCGAGATCTTCAGACCATCTAGCTTGCCGCCTAGTGAGAACCTTGGTAGAATTAAAATACTCCAAGTTCTTGTGGTCTGTAAAAACCGTGATCTCTTGCTCACAAGATTTGAGCATGTGTTCCCATTCCCGGAAAGAGGCTACAATAGCTCCCATCTCCTTGTCATGAATGTCATAGTTGATCTCAGCAGGGGAGAACTTCTTAGAATAGAATGCCACCGGATGTAGCTTCCCATCATCCCCGTACTGAGAGAGCACCGCTCCCTTGGCAAAATCACTGGCATCTGTCTCGACCACCGTTCTCCTACTAGGGTCAAAATGAAGGAGGATTG